AGAGCTTCAATAGAGCACCTGACAGATATTCAACAAATAAATAGACTAAATAACTACATCATTTCCTTTTATTGCACATCACTATTAAGAGTCTCATGAGACAGACTCAAATCATGCACTTCCCGTATGCAGAATGATGATGCACTTCAGTGTAACTCCATCCTCGGGTGCTTACATTATTAACATGCATTCAGCTTTCGTTGAGACCATTCTCTCTTATTTTGTGTGTGCCGCACACAAATACAGTTGCGTGGATGAGGATGTTATGTGGGTAGTGAGTGAACAGAAAGAGGAGATGAATGAAAGGGATCGGGATGAGACTATCAGTTCACCTGCCCATCCTGTCTTAATGACTAGAGGTGAACAGATTTGGATTGCTGTCCTTGCAGAAGAGGCTCTGCTTGAGTGTCAAGTGAACCCCCTGGATTTCAGTAGGTATTGGATAGAATGAGGAGGATCAGAATAGAGGAAGAGTTGACTAATCACAGTATTTGGATGAGAAGTTGACTGCCCTGAGATGCGTTTCCCAAAAGCATCGTTAGCCAACTGTGGTCGAAATTTCCTTTATTACCAACAGAGTTAAACGATTCAGTGTTTTCTGAAACCATAGTTTAAACAAACATTTGCAAACAGCATCACAAACTTACATGGTCGGATCTACTCTCTACCTCTGCCTGTACTTAGAAGCAGAGTTTCTTGTTAGTAAATAGATCATGCTCATGGGCACAATAAACAAGCCTACATGCAATACATTCTGGGCCAGATTTACTAAACAGGGCAAATTAGCGTTAGAGCGCAATTGCATAAAAGCACCAATGGGAGGGGAAATTCTGCGTGTGATTTACTGACAGTGCGCACATTAAAGAACACAGACGGTCAGATCATTTCCATAATGACCAGCGCAATCTACCAAGAGCAGCGCAAATTACAGCATGCTTTAAGACATGCTTTTTTGGCCATTAAATAATGGCACAAATACCAGTAATTTGACGAGCGCAAACATTAGTAAATTGTTTTGCTTGATCCATTTTAATACTCTCCTCCCATAAATTTTGCGTCTGAAAGGAAAACTCCTACAAATGCATATTCAGTAAGATCAGGCGCAAAAATAACCGTGTCCACACCTTTTCTGTGCTAATTCTTCAATGCGTGTCTTTGGTAAATCCTGACAGTACTATTTTAACGCCAAAAGACGGTTTGTGCTGGGGCAAACTGTTAGTAAAACTGTCCCTCTGTCTTTCATTCTTTCAGTTAAAAATATATATGTTTCAATCTGTATATTTTACCATCAATTGAGGCCAGATGATACTGAGGATCAACAGTCACACACAGAAACTTATCAAGAACATTTGTGTTTGAATATTGTGTGCTTGTGTTTAAATGATGTGTGTGCTTTTCTAACACACTTTGCTGCTTTTGCTTGAAGAGTCTGTGATGCTATTTGAGAGTTATTCCATGCAGTTAAGCTGCAGACTAGTGCTGCGCACCGCAGGAGTTGGCTGTTGTGAGTGTGGTTTGTTCCTCTAGCCTGAGGTCAGAGTGTTTTCAGCTCTGACGTGCAAACAGATGAAAACCCGACACAGTGTGGTGACACTTCTCATGAAGCTGCAAATGACATTTGACTCTGAAACTGAATGTGCACTAGGACATGATCTGTGTGTCTGTTTTAGGGAGTGGTGCGCTGGATAATATGAGATGCTGGCACTGCTTCGTTTCCTGTGATTGTGTGGCATGTGACAGGCATAATATTTTCCCTGTAAACAGGTAAATTTAAAGCTGTGATTTCTGAAACCAGGTTCAGCATAAAGTCTTGATCGAGGCGAGGGTGCATTGATGATGATTGACCTTGCAGGATTTGAAGCCAGCACAATCTAACCTCATTGAGTCAGCAGTGAATGTGTTCATCTGTGTTTGTTCATTCATGTCTCTCTTGCATTCACTTGGTTTCTAGGATGGAAACACAGTTAAACATAATTTAGAATCTTCTTCATCCTAGTGTGTATCCTGCATTGGTGCAGGGTCCGCTTGTTTGCTTGCCTTTTGCCACTTTGCTCGGTCCAGGGCGTCATCAGGGGTGATATTGTCTGAGTGCATGTCCTCCGCCAGACGATGGAGCCACCGCTTCTTTGGCCGACCATGCGGTCATCGTCCAGGTGGTGATAGGTGGTAGGCTGTTTTTGCCACTGTATCATCGCCGCTTCTGATGATGTGGCCATACCAGTGGAGTCGGGCTTCACGCATCTTGTCGACTATGGGCGCCATGCCCATGCGCCTTCGGACATCTTCATTCCTGACACGGTCGAATCGCGTGAGGCCGAGAGACCAATGGAGCATCTTCATCTCCATACCATGGAGGATCTGCTCGTGCTTAGTGATGGCTGGCCAACACTCGGAACCATATAGCACGACTGGGCGTATGACGGTTTTGTAGATCTTGCCCTTGAGTTTTATGGGCATTTGGCGGTCACAGAGGATGCCTGTAACTTGTCGCCATTTGAACCACGCCACGTTGACCCGTGCACGGGCATCGGAGAGGGAGTCACCATCACTCCTAATGAGCGAACCCGAGATATTTAAATTCGGTAACCTTGTTCAGTGGCTGCCCTGTAACTCTAATTGTCCCGTCAATCTGGGGCCCGCACTCCATGTACTCAGTCTTCTTGATGTTGAGGCACAATCCGTGCACGTCCAGTCGCTCACTCGCTCCAATCTTGCACTTGACGTTCAAGCTCACAACGGGTTTTGTCAGCTTGGAAGATATCGTCAGTAAATAGAAGTGACCAGGGCTGAGGCACCTGAATATCCACTGTGACCGTGTCCATGCAAAGGGTGAACAGAAGCGGGGAGAGGGCAGATCCCTGGTGCACGCCGACGGTGATCGGGAATGGTTTGGACAGGCTGGCGGGGCATCGGACAACGCTAGTAGTGTTGGCATAGAGGAGCTGGATCCACCTTACGTACTCTTCGGGAGCGCTGTGCAAGCGGAGAGAATGCCAGATGAGGTCCCGGGGCACGCGATCAAATGCCTTCTCGAGATCGAGGAAGGCCATGTGAACTGGCTGGTTCTTCTCTCAGTGCCTCTCTAGCAACAGCCTGACGGCATAGATTGCATCAGTAGTCCCGCTTCCTCTAACAAATCCACACTGATTGGGGCTAATAAAGACGATCTTCCGGAGACCGGTGTCGATTACACACTCAAATATCTTCATGGCGTGGCAGAGCAGGCGGATTAGGCGGTAAATGGTGCATTTGCCGACATCACCTTTGCCTTTCCAGATCGGGACTGTAACACTGGCAGCCCATGCTGAGGGAGTGGCACCCTTGTCGATGATCTTGTTGAACAGTCGAGTGAGGACTTCAACACCTCGGTGTCCAAGTAGCTTCCACGCTTTAGCGGGAATGCCATCGGGTCCGGGGGCCTTTCCAATTTTTCATCTTTTTGATAGAAAGCTCGACCTCAGCAGGGCTGATCGGCGGTACCGGCCCAGAAACTATTCATTACTTGACCAATGTCCAGGGTCAAGCGATGGCGAGCTTTCGCACTGCCTTCTGCCACTGTCTTCTTTGCTTTCGACTTTAGTCATTGGTACGCTTGCCAGTCGTCGGCCGCCCGCGAGACACGCCACAACTTAAACGCGGCCTTCTTCGCCTTCGTGGCTTCTTGGACTTCGTCGGTCCACCACTAGACCTGTTTGTTGATGAATCGTCGTTCTGGCTTAGTCACACCTAGGCACTCTCCTGCCGCGTCGCGGATCGTCTTGGTCACATTTGCCCAGAGTGTTTAGACAGGCTGGCCATCGTCAGTGGCAGCAATGTGAGTGTGGAGTGTGGCAGCCAGTTGTTCTCTTAGCAGGTAGGTGCCACCACTTGATCTTCTCAGGGCCGGTAAGTCGGGCATGGGATCGAAGGCCGAGGTTCAGCCGGAGGTCGAAGGTTAGTAGCCGGTGTTGGAAGGCGATGGTCTCAGATGGAATCACCTTGGCATCCATGACGAGCTTGAAGTCGTGCCGTCGTATAAGCCAATAGTCAATCTGGGTCGAACGTCCGCCACTGGTGTGAGTGGCAAGATGGGAGTCACGTTTCTTAAAAAACGTGTTGGCGACGACCAGATCGTGGGCCTCTGTGCAATCGAGAATTTGGCCACCCTCTTTATTTCCCATAGCCTTGTCTACCGTGTATCTGCTCATACCCATCTCGCGAAGCCCCGACATGTCTGTTGAGGTCGCCGCCAATCAGGAGATGCTCATTGATGTTGATTGATCGAAGGTGATCGTCGAACTGGTGCCAGAATTCCTCCTTTTCAGCATCAGTACACCCGATCTGGGGGGCATAGCAGGAGACCACCCTCAGGATCACCGACCCGGTGTCGATCTTAATTGACATGAGGCGATCCGAGATGCGGCTAACCTCAACTACGTTGTCACGCAGCTTCTTACTAATGATGATCGCTACTCCGTTTCGGTTGTTTGCTACTCCATAGTAGTAGAGCTTATACCCTTCTCCTATGTCTCTCGCCTTAGTGCCTTTCCATTTTGTTTCTTGTATGCAGGCGATATCGACATGCCGGGTTCTCAATGAATCAGCCAGTTCGCGGGTTTTTCTAGTAAGCGTGCCGATGTTAAGGGTCGCAAGTCGTAGATATTGGACTAGCTTCTTCAGCCTGCCCCATCCTTGAGCAGGTAGCCCTTGTCCACTTTTCACCTCGTTCGGACGGGGACTGCGCGTGTCGCTTCTGGGGGAAGCCCTAACATTTGGATCCAAGTGTCGTTGAGGCATTGCATTTTTGTTGCGACAGGAAACAGTTTCGATCAGCCGACGTGTCGCACCGTCTGTCACTGACTGCCCTCACCGTTGGCCCGATCAAATAAATTGTCGGTCGGCACCTCAAGGAGGTGGTGATGGGATTTTGCCGGCCCGTTAAACATAGTTCAGAATAACAGTACAAAAACCCAACAATCTATTGTCACATTAAAAGATAAAAAAGTTAGGCCCCTATTGTTATGGAACAGACAAGACAGAGCAGGTTACTTCTGGTATGAAACGAAGTCTCAGCTTTCAAATTTTGTCATTTTTTATGAAATTCAAACAATAAATCTTTAATGTGTCATGTCGGATCGCTGTATTGCCTGTATTGATCATCTCCTCCTCTATACTAGTTATAGCATGAAATAAACGTGAATGAACATCAGAAGGTATCTTGTTTCAACACGGAAAGCATCAATACACACCATTTTTCAAGTTTAAATCCACCAATGTTAATCTACTCTCCTGTCTGGTTTGTTTGTCAGACAATATTTGGCAGATTCTGCATTATGATTGGTCAGATCGCCTGTCAATCAAACTCTCACCGAAGGGTCAATTTGAACAATAATAGTGGCCTATGAAATGTTTTTTTTTTTTGTTTTTTTTTTACAAAAATGTTGTGATTTAACATTTACAGACACTAGACAAAATTGTAGGTTGATTAAGTATACTGACCTACTTTTGATTTATTCATCCTAAATTTACCAAATTCTGTTATATTCCACTTTATACTGTAAATTTCATTTTTCATTTTTATGACTGCGATACCGATATGGTGGCCGATATATCGTGCATCCCTAAATTATATCTGCCTCCTAAGGCCTGCTCTACCTCACTGATGTTTCAAATATCCAAATTAAAATGAGATGTTTTTGCATATATGTTTATGAACTGATATTTACATATAGTTTATTTGTTCTTTTCAGGAATGGAGAGGTTTCACCATCAGACCTGAAGGGTGAGTCAGTGTGTTCACAAACCCTACTCAAACCTGACCAGTCTGATTATATTAACCCTGCAAAGCCTGACATGTGACATAATAGACCGAAGGGTCAATTTTAACAATAATAGTGGCCTATGAAATGTTTTTTTTTTTTGTTTTTTTTTTACAAAAATGTTGTGATTTAACATTTACAGACACTAGACAAAATTGTAGGTTGATTAAGTATACTGACCTACTTTTGATTTATTCATCCTAAATTTACCAAATTCTGTTATATTCCACTTTATACTGTAAATTTCATTTTTCATTTTTATGACTGGATTCTGTGAATCCGTCCGTGAGTTCCACATCACAGTAATCACAGGGCTCTAATAAGGAATAATGGCACCTACTTTGATCTGACACTCTTAAAAATAAGCTGTGAATTTGCGTTATTGGTTCTCAACCATGTGTTACTCTACTGATGCTGATGAACGCTGTACTAAAATAGACTGACAGCAGAGATGTTTTCTCAAATGTGATGGGTTCATGTGTTCATGTGTTTGTGGAGAAGCGGTGAGGGTCAGGTGTCATGTTACAGGATCACATGACGGCATGAACTACTGCATTACAGGCCAATGACACGACAAGACCACTCCTGTTTAATCAACAGTGCTCTTCTGTATAAATACACAACAGCAGCAGCATCCCTTATTATAATGTGTATGGCCAGTAAAATGGTATATGTATCCCTTACAGGTTTATACATATATAATAACAAAAAAACATTAATAATTCACAACATGTAGTCGCTTGTTTCATTGAGCACTTGACAATAGGTTGTCATTACAATAGTAAAATCTGTCAGATTGTCACATTGACAGGACATGAGTGCACTGTTGTGTACATTTCCATAATTAATTATTAGTACATTTCACAAATATAACATCAAGTGAAGGCCTTGATACATGAGTCTTTTGTTGTTCATACAATATGAAGAACATGGAATAAAAAAACAACTCAAAACTTATTCAAAGGCCCAAACTGAGCAAAAATATGCAATTTCAAAACACAATGCAATGCAATCCAGTGCTGATTGAGAGATAAAGAAATAAAGGCTCCTCAGAAGATGTGAGATGTTCTGGAGGCTTCTTGTTTCATTGAGCACTTGACAATAGGTTGTCATTACAATAGTAAAATCTGTCAGATTGTCACATTGACAGGACATGAGTGCACTGTTGTGTACATTTCCATAATTAATTATTAGTACATTTCACAAATATAACATCAAGTGAAGGCCAAGATTGTAACTTTTCATTGGTAGCAATTTTGAATTTTCTTTCTTTTCTTGTCAAATAGGAAGTTCTGTATGAATTATATTAGGGATGCACCGATATGAAAATTTTGGCCGATACCAATAACCGATAATTCTTTATTTTTGAAAGCCGATAACCGATATGTTGGATGATAAATATATATCCAAATGTTTATATACTTTTTCAGAGCCTGATTACAAAAAAGGTGTCATCATTAAAAGCCACATCCCAAACACTTCAACATAAGCAGCCTAGTTTGAACGGTGTACGTTTTAAAAAGAATTTTACTCTCCCATTACCAAATTTAGTCATAAAAAAGTCTTACAAATAAATAAAATAATGCATAAATAATGCAAACAAGTCACTTGACATCATTACACGTGTAAAGAATCAAAATGAATGCGCCACAGATCAATAAAACGGAATAGCCTCTGCACGGACAATAATTAAATGATTTTAATTACTAAACCATATTGTTGATGAAAATAATAAGAGAAAAATACAAGTGGTTGTTATTATTAATAATGTATCAATGATTTTGAAAAAGTAACAAATTAATACCACTGTTTTAAATAGCAGCCGTTTGAGCTGCGCGTGCTGAAGCTGAAGAGCTGAATGAACACGGTAAACTGAAGCGTTTTTCTGGCAGCTTATTTAACTCAAGGAAATGCATCCTGAGATTAATATTAATACAACATAACATAATACTACAACTTATATATGTACAAAATGACGCAGTTATTGCGTGCTCTAGTCAGAATGTGTGATCCTGTTGTGGATGCGCTCTTCCCATAACAACGCGCTGAAACACAGCAACTAAACCCAAAGAATTCACAACGTTTTATTATAATAATGTTCTCATTAGAATGTTATATACACGACATTCCCAATCATAGTTATTAATGTTGTGCACTGCTGTTTGAGCTGCGTGCGCTGAGCTAAAGATATAATAAGTATTATATATATATAATACTTATTATTATTATATATTATTATTATTATTACTATATATTATTTTACTTTAAGGAACAAAAATGTTATTTTTCTGTGGATTTAGTTTTACTTAATTATAATAGTTCATCATACACAGAAGCAAGGTTTGGTGCTGAAAGTGTTAGGTAACTGTATATATTAGGCTTTGTTCAGATTACCAGCAAAAATCTGATTTTGTATATCCAGATTTTATACAGATGGGCTTTTGAAAAAGCAAAAAAAAAAAAAAAAACATTTGATGATTTTTTTCTGATTTTTTTCCCTTCAAACATTTGAAGGTGTTTGAAATGCGATTCCAATCAGATTTTTACAGATCTGTCTCAATCTGGATGCTCTGCTGCTCAAATCAGAAATCCTGCTGTCTTCTGAATCAGTCTTAACACAACACATAACAATAACATCAAGACTGGTAACAGAAGTGCTGGATGTGTTCATACAGTATTCAAACAAAGTCTTAGAGGCGACTTATTCAAGTGGTTCTCCAATATTAAGGTGTTGTATTTAGTTTACACAAAGTAGAGGAGACTCCAGAACTGTCAACATACTCAGATCAGACACAGAGAGAAATGAGTTTATGTTAAAACCAAAATGTGTCAGTAGCCCACTGACACCAATGTAACACTTTCTAATGAACCAGTACAATTAAGTCTTGGTGAGGTTTCACCATGGAGGCGCTGTATGAGAGATCAGTGTGACTCTGTATCTGCAGTGACAGACGGGGTTTCCCAGAGCGTCTGAATGCAGTAAATGTTCAGTGGGACAGATCAGTGCCTTTAATGTTTATAGATGAATGAAGGTGAGGCTGCTGATTAAACCCTAACCTGCCTTTAATGTTTGACATGTGCCTTTCATTGTTTGAATTACATTATTTGACTGTAATACCAGAGCTCTTTACTCACCATCAAACCATGCAGCATATCACTGAGCAGTCTGATTAAGATAAAAAAATACCAAATTACAGCACTAAAGCTGCCTTTATACATTGTATTAGGTGGCACATGGAGAACTGCAAAAGCAAATCAAGAGCAACTCTATATACAAGTCAAAACACTAAAAGTAACACTAGAGTCAGGAGGACACACACACACACACACACACACACACACACACACACAGAATGCTATCATTACAAAAGGAAACAGGAAGACCAGACTCAATAATAAGAGTCCCAGAACCAACAAAACAGAAAAACAGTGACCTCCAGTGGTCACAAAAGGACCAGAGCACCTAATGTACAATCAGTGTGATTTCTGGTTAATTTTTGTTGTTTTTAATTAAATATTATCTTCCGAATGAATCAGGTGAGCTTTAAAGGGTGAGGTTATGAGTTCATGAACCCTTCATAACCCTGTCGTGTTTTCTGTTTAACAGATCTTCCTGCTGAAAGTTCTCACAGCAGTGCAGGTGCGTGAATTCATTTGAAAGCCATGTCTGCGGTTTGATTTAATAAGGCACGAATGGTTGAGTAGAATATGAAGAATTAACAGACTGTAAATATTCCATCTAGATGAAGTTATCATTCCCTACATGACAGATTCCACAGACTGGCATCAGCATTTTTCATAACGTCATAACAAATGTGTGAATCTGTTGTTCCCTCCAACAAAAGACAAGTAACACACAAATGATAACATGAAAACATGGCTGTTTAGGATGGAACAATGACCGCTTGGGTTTAATAAGAGCTCCACTCTTTGTGCAGCAGTGATTGTGTAATCGTGAAGCACAGCAGTCAGGAGGAACGTCACACATATATCATGGTAGTGACAAGACACGATCCGTGCATGACTCTATGGAAGAGCAATGGTAAAGTTTAATAAGAGAAAATACGAGGGCCGTAGAGTCATTAGAATTTTGAAAAGTTTTCTGTATCAAACTGGGCTTTTACACACTTTGCAGATGTTACCATTATTAATAAAAGTACATGTTCAGACTCAGTGCTTTACTGCTAAATATTAATTTCCAATAGAGAAACTGTCATGTTACTAGTAAATTAATATTTATTATAATGTACATTTTGACCCAGAGAGGATTTTCCTAAAAGTGCTAGTTAATGTTATTGCATTAGACTAAAATTTACTGACTTTCTTTTCTTTTCTTCTTTTGATAATCTTTGTACTTTCTTGTGGGATTTTTTCCTACTTTGTTACACTCATGGTGTTCCTTGTCAAAAATGACCAGTCTACAAAAACAGTGCTTATACATTTCTTGTTATGCTATATTGTTTACAAATATTGGTAATTCCCTCAGATTTTGAGAGAATATTTCCAAATTATCTACATTTTCTTTCACTCAGAAACTGCGGTGCATGAGCTCAGCTCAGATCAGCCAGTTCCAAACAGAAATACTGCTGATTGAAAACAAGTTGATAAAAAGATAGAATCCAAGATTTGGTGATAATACAGCATAATGGCAGATTTACAAGCATTGTCTGGCACTCACAAGCCGATTAGACCAAATTAGCTGAAGATTTTCAGCACAGGGATAGAGTAAGAGTTAGAGATAGAGATAGAGATCTGTCATCTGCTCACTCTAAAACATGTATGATTTGTGTTTTGAGAGGAGCTGTTGGGTAAAATGTCCAGGCTGCTGTCAAACCTCATTTACACTTACAACTTTTCAACTAGTGTTCCTTTTGCCAGCTGTTTTTTTTTTATTAAGTTGGCTTGAGAAAGATGATCTACTATTTAAACTTATTATTATTCTTCTGAGCCAAAATGTAAACACTATCTCCTCCTAGAGCTTTAAAGCTATAACCACCAAACTCGGCCCAGACCTTCAGACTGGTCTGACCCGGTGTGCCATATATTTTCTAATTGATCCAGCTTACAGTTTTCATAAACCAGACTATCAAAACCACCTAAAATCCCATAGACTTTCATTGACTTTCACTTTTATACAATAAGACTTATGGTGTATTTAAGCTGTCTATTGCTATAGCAAAGCTTAACAACTTCCTACTGAAAAACAAAACAAAAAAAACGTTAAAAAGCTGGCTTTAAAGTGGTTTTGGCCACTTTTTTAGCAGGTCAGGCTGGTCTTAGCTGTTTTTTTTTACTGAATAAACTGGTTTTAGCTGGATTAGCATTTAAACATGCTAACCATGCTAGAAATGTGCTATCAACAAGCTAATAATGTTAACAAAATGCTAGTACCATGCTAATCATGCTAGAAACGTGCTAGCAAACGTGCTAGTAACATGTTTACAACATGCTAGTAACGTGTTAATCAGGCTAGAAACATGCTAGCAAAATGCTAGTAACTTGCTAATTATGGTAACAACATATTAGTAACATGCTAACAATGTTAAAAACGGGCTAATAACTTGTTAATCATGCTAACAAAATGCTAACACCATCTATCTATCTATCTATCTATCTATCCGTCTGTCCGTCCGTCTGTCCGTCCGTCCGTCTATCTTATATTGCCTTCAAGACACTAAAACTTTAAACTGTAGAACTACTTAAAGCTATTACAATGTTTTCAACCTTTCTGGCCTGGGTTTTTCAAGCCAACTTTAAAGTTTGACATCAAACTTTACTCATCTAGTTTAGTCTTAGTCTTAGTCTTGTTTGAAAGGTCTTTGTTAGTTTTTATCATATTTAGTCAGCCTATGCCATTTTTTTTTCTTTTCTTTTTTTTAATTTAGTGGAGTTGTAGTTGACTAAAATTCTAGGAATTTTAGACTAGTTTTAGTCAATACATAAACTCATATTTTAGTCATGCTGCGTAATAGTGAAACTGATCAAATCACAATTACCGATCATGATTGTTGTCATTGCATTAGAGTTATTGCACTTTCACCTTTAAAACACAAATCAAGAGAATGCCAACTCTTCAGACCTCATCTAGTTTCCTGATTTATTACATTTTCATAAATGAACACGTCACTCTCTACATTATGAAAACTGGTCAAACTCCAATAATTCCAAAGTATATTCAGTGATTTATGGCAGTGTTTCTTCCTCAAAGAAACAGGCCTGATCTGATATGAATGTGCATGTGTTTGTTCAGATAACTCATCAACTGAGGAGAGCTCGGAGGAAGAGGAAGCCCCTGAGGAGGAAGAGGAAAGAGATTCAGGTTCAGATTTGATCACTTCTGGTGAACTAGAAAACACGCTGATGCTTTTTACACTTTCATCTCCTTATAATCTACTAAAATATTAGTATCTTTCAGTTTTACTTGGCATGTTTTTGTCGTATGTCTAAACGAACAATCGCTTCTATGTTGTAAACAGAAGAAGGCTAACATACAGTACGCCATTAAACACCTTTCCATAACAATCACAATAACAAGATTTTAAGATCTTTCAGGGGTCCTGTAGGTCGATCCTCTTGATCTTGAGTGAAGGATGAACCATAATAATAAATGATCCTATATTTCCAGACTCCGGCACGAAACCCAGAGCAGAGAATCTCACTGGTAATGACCCTCCTCTCATGTGTGCTGTGTTTAGATCATGAGCAGATGTCATGAATCTGTGTTTCTCTCCCATAAAGCCTCAGACGAGCCGCTTGAGTCCTGCTGTGAGAAGTGCAGAGCTCTGAAGGTCAGCCTCTGAACACTGAACGCTCTTAGCTTCATGGCACTTTACAAAACATACAGTGCAGTAATCAATCAATAATTCAACAGTGGATATCTGTAAATATCAACCTTAAATAGTATTTCTAAGAAGTTCCCTGTAATACAGACGTTCTGCGGGTCTTAACATGTCCTTAAAAAGCTCTTAAATCACAGCAGAAAGTCTTCAGCTCTTAAAGTCATGGCAATAAATAAAAAATACATTGATAAAAAACAAATAAATTAAAAATGAACCTCTAACAGTGTTCTAATGTTCTCTATTCTTTTTCTGTTCTATCTACTCGTTTTCTTTTTATTTATTATTAAAAACTCATGCTATGTGTACCGTGTTAGGCTACCCGAGACTTGTCACAGCTCTTTTGTTGATTTTGATTGCTTCTTTATTTGTAAGTTGCTTTAGATAAAAGCGTCTGCTAAATGACTAAACGTAAAAGTAAATAAATGTTGCATGCATTGCTAAAAATAAGTATCTTCCTCAGTATTTTGGCTGGTTTTCCAGTACAAATATCTAAACATCCTTTAATCAAGATACATTTTCTTACTCAATTCTAGTCTAATTTTCTTTGCTTGGTCTTAAATTTACCATCTGTAATATTGTGACTTTGAGCACAAGGCTACTAAACCCTGTGGCCTCTCTGAAGACATTATTTTACTATTATTCTACACTCAGAATATGACGCAAACCTGCAATAATTAAATGTTAAACAACACAAATATAATTTATGTATTTAATCCCATTCTATTTGCTTCTGACCTTCGATGACCCAGTTCAACCGTACTAATAAGCACAAATTACTCTAGACACACATTTGTGTGTCTTTTTTTATTGCTGAAGTGTTCTTCTGCATTCTACTGTTCGGACGTACATTTACTTTCCCTTCAGCCTGAGGCTTATTCATTTCACTTTTGGTGTGAAAGGCTTTTATATTTGCCAAAAATAGAACTTTTTTATTTTAAAAACAAACAAGCAAGCCCTGTCCAGATTTAAAAAGTAACGCAAAAGTAACGTAACGCATTACTTTCCATAAAAGGTAAATAAGTAACGTAATTAGTTACTTTTTGAAGGAAGTAACGCAATATTGTAATGCATTACTTTTAAAAGTAACTTTCCCCAACACTGGTGGTGTATCTATATACCAATATATCATAATATATATATCAGTGGTTCTCAAGAAGTATGTACAATATTGTTGTAGCTTAAGATTTTAAGAAGGCATATGAACTGCTGCTGATGAATGTAATGCTGACACAGTGCTGTTTTTCCCTCACAGAATCCCAAATTCGAGCTCGTCACCCCTAGGAAAATGTCTAGAGATCGGCTGCAGTAGGTTCTGGTTCTCCGTACTGTACTTACTGTATGTCTCGTCTGACTCACAGCAGATGTGTCCCTCGCTTTATGACTCTCTTTTTCTAAATGACCAGTGCTGCAGTCTAAACTCGACTACTGTAAAATCCGTCTCTGCACTGGCAGCTTTAGAAGAATCCCAGGTGTAATGTGAGAATTGTCAAATGTGTCACTGAAACATTTCTGTTGCGTGGTATTATTTCCCAGTGATTAATATGTCAAGAAAGCCAGGGTTCAAATGCCACACATGAATTGGTAAACCTTTGAATAACTATAGTTTGAGGTAGTTTTTTTTTATGTTTTTGAAAGAAGCCTCTTCTGTTCACAGAGGCTGCATTTATTTGATCAAAAACACGAATATTGTGAAATATAATTACAATTTAAAATTGCTGTTTATTTTTTAAACTGTAATTTATTGCTGTGATCAAAGCTGAATTTTCAGCTTCATCAGTGTCACATGATCCTTCAGAAATCATTCTGATTATTATCAACGTTTTTCTCCAAAAACAACATACACTACATGGCCAAAAGTATTGGGACACCCCCTTCTAATGCACAGGTTTGACTAATTTAGTAATTTCAATGAGTATGAATCTGAATGTTTAAGCATATAATGATGATATTCCAGGGAATTGTGTGCTTCTAATTTTATAGCAGCGGTTTGGACAGGACCCTTTTCTATTCTAACACAACAACGCCTCTGTGTATAAGGCAGGGTTCAGAAAGAAAGGATTGATTGAGTCAGTGTGGAAGAACTTGACTGGTCTGCTGTGACTTTAAATGCAGATCTTGAGCCAAAAACTCATCAGCAAACACCAGTGACTTGTACATATGGCTACAGTCATTTTAGGCACTTCCAGAACTGTTGCAACAGAGATGGAAATACAACTTTTAAATACATGAATTATGTTTCTATCTTTGTTGCCAAGTGCCTTTTTCTGCTCTTAAGAAGGGGGTATCCCAATACTTTTAGCGTATATATGCTAGTGTTGAAGAACTGAGAAGTAATTAGTGATCATTACAGCTCAAGAGTTAAATAATAGCTGATATTCTCTGACTAAATGGAACTTTGATAGAGGGTAAGTGTTGTGATAAGTGTATAGGCTGGTGACTAAGACTCTTTACGAGGTTGGACTCTTCTGTAGGCTGCAGCTGGATGCGGAGGGTGTGTATGAGTGTTCAGACACGGGGCTGGTGTTCGAGGTCTCTCAGAGCGTCAAGATCACCTACTGTGTTCTCTCCTGGAGCACGTTTAGCACCTACTTGACTGGATCCTGGAAATTTGCTGGTCCCATTTTTGACGTGGACTGCGATCCGTCTATTCTCAAATCCGTCCAGTTCCCGCACTCACTGTGTCTAGCAGGTACAGAGATTTCATAAAGTTTTCACAATGGGGTTTTCGGTTTCCCCCAAAGAATAAGTGCCCATTTGAGGGTTTTGACACGATGGCAAACGTTCAGATTTTTTGAGAACTGCAAGTAGGAAGTGTGCTTATTTTCTTTTCTTGCTCTTCTTTCTGCTCGCTCTCTTGCCGTCGTCGTCGTCTTCCCTTCGCTCTCAGCAGATAAAGACAACGAGGTGAAGTTCAGCGTGCTGCATGTGAAGAACAGGCGTGCTCTGATCGAGCCCTCGGCCGATCACTCCGGCAGTCACGTCAGGTGGAACGTGTCGTCTCTTTCGCCCGTGGGTCCGATTGTTCAGACGTCTAAATCAGCAGAGCATCATGGGGTTGTGCAGGTGTTCAAGGAGGTGGGCCATGAGAACTCCTTCTCCTTCAGAGTTTACTTGGCTGGAAACAACTGCTCTGACATCAAGGTGAGGAAACACATCAAACGGTTTAATGTCAACAAAAATCCTTCTGCTTTCAGAGAAATGACACGGTTTTTACACAGCACTGCTGACGGGTCTTATTCTCGGTAACGCTGCTAATGTGACCTTCTGGTAATCTGCTATGTTTAGATTGGGTTTCAGGGTGAAGCTCGATGTGCCGTCTCCTCAGGGACACTAAGTGTTAACATCACTGTGACATCAGAGCAGTTTCGGTTCTGCGTGTCTGCCACTCTTGGTGATTATTGCTCTGCTCGTGAGTGTGTGATGTTTGATGCTCGATTGTGTGGGTGTCATCATCTACTAAATGCCTAGAAGCTTTAAAATACCTCAGCATCATGCTTTCACTATTCACAGTAGCTGAGACCTTCCATGACTAGGCAAGATGAGTTTGTTTCTTCATCAGGTTTGTAGAAATGTAGCATTGCATCAGTGTCTCAGCAGTGGATGCTCTGCAGTGAATGGGTGCCGTCAGAATGAGAGTCCAAACAGCTGATAAAAACATCACAATAATCCACAAGTAATCCACAGCACTCCAGTCCATCAGTTAACATCTGGAGAAGACAAAAGCTGAAACTAATCCAGCATTAAGACGTTTTTAACTAGAATACGAGTCCATAATCCATAATAACTCTTCCTCCAGTGTAAAAGTGTTCTGGTGTGAATCAGGAGAGAAATCTGCACAGATCAAGCAGCGTTTAAACAGTCCAAAACAGATGGACTTGTTTCAGCTTTTGTCAGCTTTTCTCCAGATGTTAAGTGATGGACTGGAGTGCTGTGGATTATTGTGATGTTTTTATCAGCTGTTTAGACTCTCATTCTGACGGCACCCATTCACTGCAGAGCATCCATTGCTGAGACACTGATGCAATGCTACATTTCTCCAAATCTGATGAAGAAACAAACTCATCCTGATCTCAGATGACCTGAGGATGAACACATTTTCAGCTAATTTAAATTTTTTGGTGAACTATTCCTTTAACAAGTAGTGAACGGAGATGCTTAGCCTTTAAAATGGTTGATCGTTAAACATCATTTGTGAGCTATATGAGAGTTGCTTATCCAAATGTTGTCACTTTCCAGGTGTCACAATTTTAAAGAGGGCCCATTTCTAATATGTAAAAAACCATGTGGAAACCAGTCAACTGAAGTCATTTGGCTCTTTCATCTTTCATCTTCAAATGGATTCTATCGTGAGAAGTGCTCTACTCAAAGAATGACCTTTGTTGCATTGTGGCCAAAAAAAAATTAAAAATGTACATCAGAAATTACAGCCCCTGACGCAAAGCCACATTTTCTGGTTAGGTACTCACCAATGTGACACAGGCCAAAACTGTTGAATGAAGCAGATGTGCATGATAAATGTCATCTATTAACATTGGCTCATCGTCTGATGTTCCACAACAGTTTGTGGGCTGCTTATCTTTGGACAGGGGCTCGTCTTCGCCTTCTGCTGTGGGTTTAATCGTCACATTCTCATGTGAAATGACTTCCTGTGGTCTGCACACCACAGAGCGGTTTCAGCGCAGCGTAATTCACGCTGTCAGAGAGGCGATCTCAGTTTCAGTCAAAAAAACTCACAGAATGCTTCTAAAGACCTTCGTTGGGCCAAAAATGCAAATTGTTATCATGTACAGTGCTTACCCTCATGTCCTTCCAAATGAATATGACTTAGTTTCTTCTAAGAATGCCCTGGCCTCTTCTGTGCATTTAATCAAAGGGGACTGGGTCTGTCAAGCCCAAAATAACAAAAAAGCACCAGAAAGTATCATGCAAAGTTGCCTTATTTAAACTTTGGTCGGCCCTAGTCTGATTTTAGAGGCCTGTGTCGCAAAGACGGTGTAGTTTTACTAACATAAAACCATTTTACTAAATTCCTAGTAAGATGGATGAGTGTATTAATATGATTTAAAAATAGTAAACCACCCAGCTGGTAGAACGTCATGAGAAAACATCTTCTCATAAACAACCTTCCAAAATAAATGAAAAATAACATTTGTGAGCCTGGAGCACAAAAGCAGTGTTAAGTCGCTGGGGTATATTTGTAGCAATAGCCAACAATACATTGTATGGGTCAAAATTATACATTTTTCTTTTATGCCAAAAATCATTAGGATATTAAGTAAAGATCATGTTCCATGAAGATATTTAGTAAATTTCCTACCGTAAATATATCAAAACTTAATGTTTGATTAGTAATATGCATTGCTAAGAACTTCATTTGGACAACTTTAAAGATGATTTTCTCAATATTTAGATTTTTTTGCTCCCTCAGATTCCAGATTTTCAAATAGTTGTATCTCAGACAAATATTGTTCTATCCTAACAAACCATACATCAATGGAAAGATTATTTATTTATGATGTATAAATCTAAATTAAAAAATATTGACACTTAAGACACTTAAGGTTTTGTGCTCCAGGGTCACATATAAAACAACTGGAATTATATTATGCCACATCTGTTGGTGTTTAATATTTTAGTTGTACTTACACAGATTTTTGTTTAATTGGACAGCAACAAAATATTGATTAAAACAATGTTTTATTTTCAATAAAAAGCATTGCATTGCACATTTATGTGCACATACTTGACCAATAGAAAAATCAAGGTCAAAATTCGAATTCATAGATGGATTGTTTTAAATCAGCTTCACAGAAATAAACGGGAAAAGAACAATATGAATGTTGCAAAATTCATCAATTCCAGCTGTACAACAGCTCTACAGACGACAATAGTGGCATTATTAAACTCCGTTCAGTTCAATAACGCTGTCAGAGAAGTCACGGAAAGGATTGTAGTTCTGCTTAAAACAGGTGGAATTTGTTTGGTTTTGTCCAAATCGAACTGATCCTGAACCCTGAGTTAGTTTAGCGTGACAATACTTGACGAGACTCTGCTAGAGGTTCTTCAGAATTACAGCTGATGCCATGTTCTGCAGGACATCAGGAGGGCCGTTCGACGGGCGAACAACTGCAAGAACAACAAGAGGTACATACAAGTAGACAAGCCGCCCACATGCATGCTGGAGGAGAACAGGAGGTACCGTCTCATCAGCGAGCCCATGGGTCACATCACACCGGAGGTACTGCAGACGCAGACGAGATCACAGCTCACTCGCTCAGCTGTGAGTTTATCACATGTGTGTGTGTCTGCAGGACATGCTCTTCTCTCCTGTCATCGTGGAGGTGAAGGGATACTTCGAGGTCTTCTTTGAGGAGAATCCTCCCTTCAAACTGTCCTTGACAGATGCTGACTCGGGTCATACCGTATGGACAGCTACCATCAGAGAGGGTACGGCTCAGTCAACACAAACACGAGCCGCTCCTTTGCCTTGGTGCCAAAAATGTCTTTTTTAATAACTTTATTTGAAATGTTTCATCTAAACATTCAAGAAATCCTATTTTCCAACCACCAGCCTGAAGTAACTGGCCTATAACTGACAAAAATAGGAGCAAATGTTCCCTTCAGATTAGTACTTAACAAATGTTTTTTAAAACCCTGTCACCCAAAGCTTGATATTATTTCAACCCTCTGACAGTATGTTTAAAATGAATACACTTGAGTACGCAACTGAGTAAAGTCTGAAAACTAATATGTAGACGTAATGAAATAATGCTGAATACTTTAGGAGAACGATTATCTAAACGATTATTTCTTCGCGTCTTCCTCAAATATGATGTCAGAAAATCAAGCCATTATTTTGAAAGTGGGAGATCAAAAAATAACAGGGTTGAAAAATACAGAAAAAAATCTGTATTTGCTGAGAAAAAACTATTGTATTATACATTAAACCTAACTAAATATGTCTGTAATATTTCAACAGTTTAAGGACCGATTCTCACTATTAACTAGTTGCTTATTAGCATGCATATGACTAGCATATTGGCTGTTTATTAGTACTTATAAAGCACATATTAATGCCTTATTCTGCATGACCGCAGTTTAGACCCCTTAATCCTCCCCATACCTAACCTTAACAACTACTTTACTGACTATTAATAAGCATCAAATTAGTAGTGTATTGAGGCAGAAGTCATAGTTAATAGATAGTTAATAGTGAGAACTGGTCCCCAAACTCTAATTCTGTCATACAATTCGGTTTCCTGTTAGTTTGTAACAGTAAGACATGGAGACACAGTTTCCTGAGAATGACCTGTGTTTGTAAAGAACAATAGATGTAATTATAAATCTTTTACAGGAGACTGTGTACATCATCTAGATGAAAACCCCAGAAAACCATCAAAAGGTATGTGGTGCGTCTCTGTCCTCAATACAGTGCTGCGGGGATGACGTGTTTTTGTAGGCCAAAACCCAGAAACCAGTTGCATTTCAGCACTTCCAGTTGCTTGAAGTAAATGTGCTTTTTTTGTTGTTGTTGAATGCCTAAAATAAGGCATATAACTCAAGATATTTTCATGTTTTATTCTGTCATAAAATACATCAATAAAACTGCCATGGGATTTCTGTAAAACTTTTATTCATCTTCAAACTCATCTACTCACTAGTCGCTTTCACATTCAATAAAGACATTTTTTAAAATAAAAACGGAAAACGTTGAAGCATAATGGTGGCAATGTTGAAGTCATATGACTCTAGTGTAGTACGTTTATATCCAAGGATTAGCTTTTCACTTCTGACGATTGTATTTAGGCTTCAAAATTCACAGTTAAGATCTTCATGATGAACAAAATGTGTAAGAATTAGGGATGGAACGATTACCGGTTTGATGATAAATCATGATAAAATTCCCCACGGTTAGTATTACCATTTCATATATTAATTATCATTAAAACCGTATTAGATTATCATGATTTGAACAACTCAGGATAAATAAATGCTATCCAGCATAAAGCAGAGATTTAAGTAACAGCACAGCACACAGAGTAGCCTAGTTTCGTTTTGTGTGAAAACATGGCGGAAAGCTGTGAGGTTTTAAACGAGTGCTAAGGCAATTATACAAATGAATATATGAATGAATTAATTACTGTATATGAATGTACCTCTGAAGATTCTGACTGTCTTCAGAAAAGATTGGATGGCATTTTGTTTTCACCTTCGCTCCATGTAATAGCTAATAAACTAGTGTTCTTTACGGGAAACAGCTGTAATTCTGCTGCTGCATCAGCGCCACCTGCTGTCAGAGAGTGGATTTACAGAGACTCACATTCACATTCAGTCTGTGTGCAGTTTCTGTCTGGACAAAAACAGACCGGATTTACATGCCCTGCTGTCATTTATGACCGGTTGATGAAAAACAAGCTTATGTGGATTCTGCACATTTAAACAATTCAGATAACATATCTAGAATTATTTATGAAGCATGATAAAATACATATAATCATTTATTAATCAATTATCATTTTGACTTAACTCTTTTCTTTATTTAAAGGCTGAAGAGGTTTACCATTTTATGAAACTTTTTCAAAGTTTTATTTGAACATTTCGTACATGTTATTAGATAAACTGTTGTCAGTCATGTTGTCATTTACAATCCGGACATCATTGGTAATGTTATTGTTTTAGTGTTAAAAAAAAAAAAGTCATTTTATTTCTTGTTTGTTGATTTTAAATACACAGCTTGGTGAAATTATTAATGTGTCAGCACTTTTTGAACATTTCCAGCACATTTTAACAATACCGTGATAATACCGATAACTGTGATCATTTTGGTCATTATAAGTGTGATAAGAAATTTTCATACCGATACATCACTAGTAAGAATCATAAATTTGTGTTGCTCACAGAGCTTGCAATAATCCAGTGGAAAAATCCTACTGGGTTTATGTTGAGGGAACCAGAGTGATGTGAACTTATGGGTTTGTCTACAAAAATGCATCATCACTTCAGCGCTCTATTCATCACATTGTCAGGATATTCAGGAATGATGGGTGTTTTGTGGTCTCGCCGTCTACAGGCAGAAAGAGACCGAGCAGCACATCAGAGGAAGAGCTCTGTCACAAACACAGTAAGAAAGCGCGCGGCATTGACGTGGCCGGTAAGTTTATGATAGCCTCATTACAGTATTTATCCTGATTGTGTGTTGACTGGAGTGCTGGTGTGTGTTCAGACTGTAACGTGACGGCCGCGGCTCCGGACCTGACGGACCAGCAGCTGATGCAGGTGGCCAAACGCATGGGGAGGGAGTGGAAGGTCGTGGCCATCAGCTGTCTGGGCCTCAGCAAGCAGGACCTGGAGGAGATGGAGGCCGCCGAGGAGAGCGTGACCATGCTGAAGTTCAACATGCTGGAGCGCTGGAGACGACGACAGCCCAAGGGAAAAGCGGGAATTCAGGATCTCCACAAGTGTTTGAAGGACAACGATGATGTGCCGAATGAGGTCATTGCTGTTCTGGACGGTGAGTCTGGACGGGATCTGGTGTGTTTCAGTGTGTATCCTCAAGCGGGAGGGATGGCCTGGGCTCAGTGTAACAGATTAAAAAGCCTTCGAGGTGTGTCTGTTCTTAGAGGTCGACCGATATATCGGTCGATATTAGGAATGTTTTAATGATCAGCAGCAGCCGATACATTTTTGTTTGGTTGGTAAGAGTCGGAAGCAGGACTTTTATTTTTAATTTATTTATCTGTGTGATATCAACCATTAGCCACTCTATACGGTTGACCAATATATTGCCAAGGCCGATATACTGGCCGATATTAGGCATTTTTTAATTATCTGCATCGACTGATAAGTTTTTCTGTTTGGCCAGGACTTTTATTTTGACAGAATCAAGAGGTTTCCAATTGAATAAATCTGTTTATTTTACAGATTTATTTTCATCAAGGTTGCTTTTTTTCATATTTGATCATTTTCAGATTGATTTGTAATTTGTACGTATATAATATGAATATAAATTTCATTTCAGCAATTGTTATGCATGTGTTGGCGTATGATATTAGCATCGGACATCAAGAAAGTCTATATCGATCAACCACTATTCTTTTTTACGTGACTTGTTGATGACGAGGCTCATGGAGCGAGATGCTGAAAAACAATGATATGTGCATCTAAAGCAGATGTCCGACAGAGTCCAACAGATCAAACGCAGCACAGGGATGCAGAAGTCCTTTAGGAGGACAGTTCTGAGAATCAAGGCCACATCTTCAGACATGTGACGTTCAATCAGGTGATGCCTGTGATTTTGGCAATCATTCCTGTTTAATGCAAGACACTACCGTTGGTTTCTTTTTCATGCACTGGTCAATTTTGCTTCTGTATCATGTCTTCGTTCAAGCTAGTGGAAAGAAAACATCAAAAATACACATTTAAGTGTTTATTTTATTGTGCTTTATCTATTTGCATCTGTAGATTTCAATTCCAGTCCATATCTATAAAGAGCTTTTTACATACAGCAAACAGTTTTTTCCTCTCTGTATTCTGAAGAGATTTACTAAGAGGTTTGTTTATATATCATTCACACTGATTTATACAATATGTTGATGATGTATTGTTTTCTGTCTGTTGACAGTATTTCCTGATTTATGGTTTAAATCCCGAAATCCCCTTTAGAAAAACATTTAATGCTAATATTTCAGTAAAATCATATTGGAAACTTTAAACCTGGCTTCATCTAGTTTTAAGATTTCTGTTCTGGAATTTTTTTGCAGATTAACGTGTATTGACATAATGCTTCACTTTCACGTTAAACCATAACATTTTAGAACTTGTAATTGTTTAGAACTTGCAAAACAGCTGTTTTAATGTACTGTAATTAATGAACTGGTTAAGTATGGTGATATTTATTCACTTGTAGTGTCTTGCTTGAAACACATTTATGCGTCCTCTGTGCAGCATGAAAATGTTTGTAATGTCTTTGTGAAGTGGCTTGATTTAGGATGGGACATACTGATTGCCCCTATTTAATATGAGACATTTCTGTAATAACAGTGATCATTTGTGGTAAGTCTGATAATGTGTGGTTTGAAAAGCTAGTGATTTGTTGGTTCATGCCAGCGGTGTTGTCTGCCGTTCTCCTCGTCAGCACAGGGCTTCTGTTTCAGTACAGCGTATGCTTGTTTAATCATACACATTCACACGGAAACATTTGTGTGTCTTGTCTTTTTCCAGAGATGCTACAAAATAATTCCGCTACATGAGCTTCAGCTGACCGATCGTCAGAAATCATTTGAACCACTGATAGAGAGCGATGAAGACGTGCTGAAAGAGAAGTCCTGAGGTTTGTGCTCGTACTGGAACCTGGAGCTTTCAGGAAGAACTTCAGGAGAACTGTAGATACTCTTAGTGCATCTGGTACATTTTGTATGTAGCTCTTTGTACATTTTTAGAGATTGTACATATTTGAATGTCTTTGTAAGGATTGTAAGTAGAGCTCAGTTTGTTTTGTTGAATTATGAGCCGTGATCATCTGCATTGGTTTTTCAGGAACAGGGTTGATATTTTGATCTCAGGTGCTGTCATTCTCTCACGGTTATGGACTGATGTTTTAGTAGCGTATGATATCATGATATTCACGCTCCGTCCGCACGAGTGACCATCACTGTTCACAGGGACACAGAGCTCTTGTCTTGTGACACTGGTTCAGAATATTTCAGCAAACGGCTGCATTAGTTTCTCGGTCTTATGAAATGTTTGTTGGGTAAATCCGCACCTCTCACGCCCCTCTCAGGGGAATCGCTATTCTGGAGGAATTTGACCTGTCTTTAAATGAATAAACCATGAAAATGGTCTTTAGGAGCTTTATTTCAGACGGTTTCTCTCCATATGATGCTTGCCAAACGCCTCGTGTTCATCTGCTGACCTCGGGACATGTGATGTGGAGACCGCTGGTGTTCTTCTGCTCATCCTTCAGTCAGAATGAACTCTGACACTGCTTTATGAAGCTCTGATTCTTCATGCGCTCACATGCTTCATCACAGCTGACTCTTAACATTGACGGATAATCTCTCCTGCTTCCCAGTCATCACATCACATGATGTGTGAACGTGGACGCTCATGATAATGTTCTGACGTCATAAACCAGAGCATTTCAGCACAAGTTACTTTTGCAGTTTAGCTTCAATAAACCTGTGATGACACTCTACTTTAAGAGTCCATATTCATGCGGTAGTTAAGCGTGAACACACCAGTAATTAAACTAACTGAACATACATTAAGGGTATACTTATATCTAATGAAACATTTGAAAGATTAAACGTTTAAAGAATAAACAAGCAAAAATAATCCAGTAATTAATGGTTAACAGAATGTACAGTAAATGTAGTAAAAGACTGTACAGTTTAGATATTCTAAAGTCACTTTGCAACTACATCTCAACTAACTCTCGTAAGAGTATTAGTAGACGGTAGAATTAGTAAAAACATTAACTTCTTTTAGCCATTATTTACAATGTAAATATTTTTTATGTGTATAGCAAGTGATTTACATAATGTTATATTTTTGCGATTAACCATCTATAAAGTAAACTGAACAATATGAATCGTTATGTTTACTCGGTGTTAGCCTTACAGTTTGGAGTAATAAATTGCCAATCTGTATCGCTAAAAGCACATAAATAAAGGTGACTTGACTTCTTGGGAATCATCCACACAAACACAAAATACACGTCGCACAAATATTTTAATAAATAATTCATAAATAATGTATTACATTAATAACACATAAATAAATAATTTCTCAAAACAAATAAATAGATTGAGGGATGAACATAAATATTCAGCTTATGTGTGACTCTCCGGAGTGAGTGACATCATTTCCTGTGCTCTCCGGAGCCGATGTACCCCAGCGCCCGGTTCACGGTGATGGCCCGGATGTGGAAGCCCTTCAGCGCTTTGCACAGCGACAGACGGTCATCGAAGGACGAGCCGCTCCAGACGAGCCACTGCACACACATCAGAGAACATGAGCGTCAGGAACAACGAGTGTGTCTGCAGTGACTGAGCATGAACGTCTTTGAGCAATGTTGCGTGCCATTGAGAATGACTGTGTATCATCACCTGGAGAGACGATGACAGACACTCACCTGAGGAAACTCTCCATCCGCAGCCTCACAGTTCTCATCCAAACACTGCAAAACAAGCAGAATCTGCCATCACACACACACACGACACCGTTTTACTGTTCAAGGCCTTTGTTTGCACACACACTAAACTGAGGAATACTCCGTTTTTGGAATGGAATACCAGCTTACTAAGAGAGCACTGTGTTCTGTCTACTAGTCCTTAACCCTTGTGTTATGTTGAAACTGGTTAACCTAGGATATTTGTTTTTATTTTGTCACTATTTCTCAAAGTTTTAACATATGCTGTGGAAATATGTGGAATATGCAAATATGTGCATGCAAAATATTGATTATGATTATGATGTTTATAAGTCAGTTTGACCCACAGTTTTACGGTTAACGGCAGCTGCACAGACCTAAAATAAAATAATTTTAATGTATTTTGTTGTGTCAGGCTCTCAGCTACGCTCTGAGGGTGTTTACACCTGCATTCATGCATTTGGCAGATGCTTTTATCCCAAGAAATGTACATTTTTATCAGTTTAAGCATAGTCATCTCACTGGGACTCAAACCCATGACCTTGGTGTTGTTAGCGGCATGCTCTGCTGCTTTAATTATTTGTTTTGTACAATTAAAAACAAAAAGTTACAATACTATTACTACTATTACAATACTATTTACAATATTTCTTTCTTTTCGTTTAAAAAATTGTTGTTAATGACCAGAATTCAAACATAATACAAGGCTTAAGCAACAGTGTTTCCTTCTCTGCTGAATTCAGCTCTGTGTCAGAGATCTTAATATTTTGCTCTGATTATGCAGTATGTTGGTATGGCATCGGCTCGGCCTGCAGACAGACTGAAGAAGCAGGAGAGTCTCACATCCATCAGGGCTTTGGTGGCCGTCTTCACTGGACTCAGATCAGTCTCGCTGGGCTTGTAGGAGTTCAGCATCACGTGGTAATAGCGCAGATCGGCTCTGATGTTCGTCAGACACTCCGTCTGTGAAAAGCACACAAGCTTTAGACGGAGCGGATCAGCTGAGGCCAACCAGACAGATATAACACACTCACCTCACTGAAAGACGAGCTCCGGTGGCTGGAGCAGGACGCTTTCTGAAAGCACACATAATGATAATTATACTCCACTGATAACACTTCACAATGAGCTGTTGACGTCAGTACACTGCATGATGCTTAACATCAGCTAACAATGAAAAACACTTCTACAGCATTTATTCATCTCAGTTCATGTCCAGATGAACTTTTACTACAAGTTGCTGACATTAACTAACAATGGGTCAAAGACGAGAAAGGGTTTTCAAGCAATGAGTGTAATACAGCTTTGTTGTTGTTTTTCAGTACATTAGAAAGTGTCCTGTTTAATTAAATAGGTTTTTTTTTCTGAGAAAAAATAATTATCATACATTTTTACCATGATTTACAGAAAACAGCCACTAAAATGTTATTCGGTGTAGCAATCTTGTCAGGCATATTTGCCACAAGAATCAGTTTATGACATATTAAAGAACTAATTAGTTTTACCCCAAATAATTAAACATTTTTAAACTTTGCCGCTATCCCATTTTGGACAAGATTTTTTTAAATGCAATAAAATGTAGTATGCACACTTCAATTCTTTTATGTATTTTAAAATGTACAGCTCAGAATAAGCATGTTGTTTAAATTTTTACATTAATATAAGTGTTACACTGGAACATTATTTCACCCACATTTTGACATTTTATTCTCCCAAAACTTATTTGAAACCTTAAAAGTAGCCACTTAACTTGCATTTAATGTGCTTTCTGTGCATATAAAATCACTTTTGTAAAAGTTCTTTTGATGCGGACATTTAAATGTCTTTGACCTCAATACAATTGTTAATAGAAATACATCTGTTCATTGTTAGTTCATGTTAGTTAATGCATTAACTAGTGGGACCTTAATGTGTTAGCTATACTAAATACAAGCAGCAATCTCAGGGCCGAGTGAAATTTGTTGGTCGACCTGAAGTTAGGAAACACTGATCAGATTGACTGTTATTAATAATAACACTGGCAAAGTCTAGCATCAATAACCAAAAACAGAGTTTTTATGTGGAGAAACCTTGAAATTCACTAATAGGTTGACATTTGCCTGCAGAAATATATGGAGCAAAGCAGAAAGCTGACTCTGGCTGATGTTTCTGCACTTCTGTCAGTAGGTGGCGCTGTCATGAGACACTCTGTGCCAGTTGTATCGCTAGATTCATGTCCATGTTGTTAATTTCGCTTAACTCTAACCTCTGAACGAGTGATCCTGCAGATGTTGCACAGTCGCTCAGGTGTGTGATGAGGGTTCAACTAAACTAAAGCAGAGTGTGACTGCTGTCATGAGCGAGATGTTGTGGTGTGATGTGTGTGAGGTGCTGAGACTCACATCATCAGAGGCACGGGGCTGACAGACAGATGCTGTGAGAGTGTGAGGAATCATCTGAGCCTCCAGATCTGTGCAGTTAAAGCCAGCAAACAGATCCCTGTGCTTCATCTTCCCCTCCTGCGCTCAGAGCACACACACACACACACACACACACACGAGACAAGAGTAACGCCATTAACCATCAGAAACATTTACACAATAATACATGAGTCATAAGGGTCATCTGAAAGCTGAATAAATAATCTTTCCATTGATGTAGGGTTTGTTAGGATAGGACAATATTTGGTCGAGATACAACTATTTGAAAACCTGGAATCTGAGGGTGCAAAAAAATCTAAATATTGAGAAAATCATCTTTAAAGTTGTTCAAATGAAGTCCTTAGCAATGCATATTACTAATCAAAAATTAAGTTTTGATATATTTACGGTAGGACATTTACAAAATATCTTCATGGAGCATGATCTTTACTTAATATCCTAATGATTTTTGGCATAAAAGAGAAATCTATAATTTTGACCCATACAATGTATTGTTGGCTATTGCTACAAATATACCCCAGCGACTTAAGACTGCTTTTGTGCTGCAGGGACACATATATATTATATATTTATATATAATATATATTTTTATATTTCTTTTTTATTGTTGAATGGTAATTAAATACTGTTAATCAATATGTTTTCACTCCTGAAAACATATTGTTGTAAAATCCCTTTAACCAACCAACAGAAGACGTTAATGACATCATCATCATCATCATCATCTGATGAATTCTGGGATGTTTGGAATCAGTCTGATAATATGAATATTTCAGGCGATGATTAAAAAGTGAAGTGGTTTTTTATGAAGATCCTGTTCTTGTTCCTGTCACTCTGTAAATAACCGTGTTGTAGTTTGACCACAGCACACTTCTGATGATAGTCTGTTTGTATAGAGTTGTACAGAAATACTTCAGTACAACACAATCATATTCATATTTTAATAGTTTAGGTGCTTCAGAGCAGGATCAAATATATTTATAATAATATATCAAATATATTACAAATACATAAAAAAAATAAGGGACATTTCAAAGTATCCCATATGGCAAAACATGTTTTTTTTTAGTATATTTTTATATTCACTAAACTGTATCAACATATATTTATGTAAATATATATATTCTACCAATATATCATTTGTCCATTTTTTCACATTTATTCAGTGTTCATTCAAAAATCTATTTTGGCCTCCATATATTTCAATCTAAGAAAATACATTCCCACATGTTACAATTGAAGAAAAATTAGTTGTCTACAACAACAGCCTTAATGCAGGCCATTAACAGTCTGTAAGTCTATCTTCTTGCCCCTGAGACACGTGCTGAAGTATATTTTGTTTCAACCTTCATACAGAAAAATATGTTTCAAAATTCTAGCCAAAATACATATTTAAAATATAGACTAAATATATGTGTAAATTGAAATGGAAAATTATATATATTTTAATCTCAGTTTATAACACATATGTGATATTTGTAGCAATAGCCAACAATACATTGTATGGGTCAAAATTATACATTTTTCTTTTATGCCAAAAATCATTAGGATATTAAGTAAAGATCATGTTCCATGAAGATATTTTGTAAATTTCCTACCGTAAATATATCAAAACTTAATTTTTGATTAGTAATATGCATTGCTAAGAACTTAATTTGAACAACTTTAAAGATTATTTTCTCAATATTTAGATTTTTTTGCTCCCTCAGATTCCAGATTTTCAAATAGTTGTATCTCAGCCAAATATTGTCCTATCCTAACAAACCATACATCAATGGAAAGATTATTTATTCAGCTCTCAGATGATGTATACATCTCAATTTCAAGAAATGGACCCTTATGACTGGTTTTGTGCTCCAGGGTCACATATATTTAAAATCTCGGGCAGATTTTTGCCGTCTGGGTATTTAGTGGAGTTGCAGTAATGAGTGTGTGACGCTGTACCTTCTGCATGATGTGTGAGAGGCTGGAGAGCAGAGATCTGGCGGCGGCGCTGCATTCACACTGCTGTGTGTTCGGAGGAACCGGAGAGCCCAGAGCAAGAGCCACAAATACACAGAACACAGCGCCTGCGTGACACACACACACACACAGTTCAGGTGTACTGCCGTAAATCAGCTTTCAATAATATCTCAAATGTTAACTTGTAACACTTCGATCAAACAAAAAAGTAAAGATGTAACTGATCAGTTCCATCACTACATCATGTAACAGCGAGTGTGTGTGAATATGATAAGTGAGTTACTCACAGATCTTCATGATGTGTCGTCGCTCAGACTCAGTCTCGGTGTGTGTGTGTTTGCTGGAGTACGAGTGCCATGGGCTTTAAGCTCATGATGGGGGAATCCCTCACACTCTCAATCACTGTACAACCTCCACTCACACACAGTGCTTTTCTTTTGGTTTGTTGCTGCACTGAAACTGGAATAAACACTCTGATGTGTGCATGCGCTCATCACGGTGACCTCAACAAACAACTGCATTACAAGCTCCGGTTTTCACTTCATTCAGACACAGCCACAAATCACAACACTTTCCATGAATAACTGGAAAACACTGCGTAATGATCAGTAGTGGCAGCAATCCACACAAGTCTGTTTATATGAGTATTTCCACTCAATCACACAATTATCTGACTAATATTTGATAAACCCGCAGATTTTCTTTTAGTTCCAACAATGTGAGTCGTATACAGTCTCAAATAGAATGATACATAAATTCATCGATCTGTAGGAGTTGACAAATTTCCAGCATGAAACATGATTCATTTTCAAAATGGAAAAAAAACAAATTAGTAGAAAGAGCACTTTTGGAATATATTTGATGGCAGTTTTGGATGAAACATGTAAAGACCAGCACTTAGTGTTTAATCTTCTTGTGCAATTCTATTCTAAAGCACAAATAATGAAGCAAAACTACAGAAGCTTGTTTCTGCCACAAAATTAGAAAATACAAAAGTAATTGTGACTTTTTAATCTCAGAATTCTGACTCTATTCTCGAAATCCTGAGTTTATTTCTTCTCAGAATTGTGAGGAAAAGTCAGTCACCTCTACCCTTTTTTTCTCCCTGTGGCAGAAACGAGCTTCCACAGAAAAGTGATTTTAGTTACGATTCGTATTTTCTCCACAACAGACGATCCAGAACGCCACGGTCTATGAAACAAAGTTTTATTTTTTCTTATTTTACACATATCTGTACATAAGCATCTCCCTCAAATAAAGAATCTGAATGCAATAGAATGAAAATGATATGAACACACTTATTCAGATGACTCGTGTCAGAATCAACATTCACGAAATGTTGAATACCAATCGGAGTGAATGTGACCAGAAGCTACAAGTCGACTACAAGGCAGGCATGTTTCCGCTGTCGTCAGGATCCAGAGGCGTCGTCTTCTTTTCTTGAGTTTCTCACGAGGTGTTTTACACCGCTTTATGTTCTGACGGTTATAGTTTAGTGGCGAACGTAAAGGACTGAGACGGTCTAAGAGGACGGCCGCAGGGAGCAGTGTCCGAGACGGATCCGGAGGCCTGCGTTTAGTGTGTGAGGACGCGAGCGGTCAGCAGTTATGAACCACAGAAGCAAAGGAAAGGTGTCTGACTATACTGATGTGTGGAGGTGTGCGGCTTCATTTGGACAGCGTTTTCTCCGCCAAGTGCTTCTGCTGGCTCTGAGCGTGCCTGAGGAACACAGACATGACACAAATAACAGTCCTTTATTTCCAGTCCACTTTAGACACTCTACTGAGTCTATATGCAACTGCATGTCAATGAACTCTCATTAGAGTATTACTTAGTAGACTGTTAGGGTAGGGTTAGTAGAACGAGTCACTGATAGTCACTCAGTAGAATGTTTGGTAACACTTTATTTTAAGGTGTCCTTGTTACACATGTACTTACATGTAACAATAAATTATGCATAACTACATGCAAGTAACCCTAAGCCGAACCCTAACCATATAGTAAGTACATGTAGTTAATTGATATTACTCAGTACTTAAATGTATAATTACACTGTAACAAGGACACCTTAAAATAAAGTGCAACCAAATATCCATCAAAATAAAGTGCTAGCAGATATTAAGCAGTCTATTAACACTCTAATGACAAATTAGGAGTTTATTGCGGCAAAAGTCATAGTTAATAGTTAGTTAATAGTGAGACCTTAAAATAAAGTGTTACTGAAAAACACAACAAAATGACAAAAAAATTAACTCAAATTAAAATAGAAGCAGACAATGTAATAATAAAATCTAATTCAAAAACTATAACAGCATGTCAATGGCGCTGTGAAAACATGTTCTCATTCCGTCACTGGCTCCGGTGTAAAGTCCTTCAAGTTTTCTTTAGGGGAATTTGTGGAGTATTCCTGAAACTCAGCGCTTGTACTTTTACTCCATTACGTTCTGTTTGTCATGGTTTGGTCACCTGGTCAAGTCCTCGATGTCCACCAGCATGGCGTCCTGCTCCATGTGAAGCTCGTCTCTCATCAGCAGCAGCTGCACCAGCTCCTCGTTCAGACCTGAGCATCACACACACACATGTCCCTGAGCTCCACACACACACACACACACTATGCAGCGTATGAATGAGACAGACAGAGGTGTTTACCCTCGATCTGTGAGTGCAGGTCGTTGACGATGACCTGCAGCTGTCCCAGCGTCATGTCTCTGAGATCCGTGGGCTTCAGACTCCTCTTCATCAGACACTCGCTGATGTGTGGCATGTGAGGAAGCTGTGAACACACACACACACACGCACAGAGACAGGAATATGTCAGGTCAAATCTATTAGTATAGTGCTTTTCTGAACACACACACTTCCACAGCAGCTTTACAGAAAGAGTCTTTCGATCTAGCTCTATTGTATTTCTAGTGTCGTCTAGCTCAAGTATTTAAATATTGGTTGTTTTGCTCTGTTTAGAGATGGTCAGTACTGTTCAAAGTGAGAGTATTTAAAAAAAAAAGCTTACATGAAAATATGGACTTGGCAATCTGAGGCTGGAGGAAGTAGTTCAGAGAAAGGGATTCAGATAATGTTCAGAGTAACTGATTCTCAGAAAGCTGCACAAAAGTAATGGAGGGATTTAGGGAACGGGAAACAATTCTCAGAAATAAAATGACAATCGGTTGTCTTGAGTGAAAACAAGCCGCTCGTCTGATGCGAGTTTAACATTTTCCAGATTTAATTATCAGTCGTTTAAGTGACGATGTTGAGAAACACACGGCTTTGATTTCAGTTAGTAGCGTGTCTGATTTGATATCATGATGCTGTTCTTGACTGGGAGTAAACATGTATATTGGTAAAGATTTTAGTTGGAAATGTTGTTTGAAAAGGATGCTACATCATGATTTCATCTCTTTAATCTATGAAATAATCAGTTATTCAGTTGATCTTTATTGTGTTAATGACACCACTGACCAATCAGAGTCAGCTATTCCAGAGAATCATGCGCTATTATTATTTCTAATGACGGGGTTATGATAGTGAAGTCTGTCTGGAGTACTGAATAAAAATAAGCATGAACAGCAGATCTCTTCACAGAAACTAAAGCAGGTTTTTCACATTACAAATACCAGTATCACACATGGTAATTCTTCAGGTAAATCACCCATCTGAAGTTCCCATGAGGACTTGCTTCAGTCTGACACACTGCAGTTTTACTTTCACACCAGTTCACTTGCTTTGAGCTTCTTCCTATTCTAAGGTTTTCCCCATTTTAGACAGATATGAGCGGCGTGAGACAATAATGAGCTGGGTTTATACGCTAGTAAGTGAAGTGAATGTTCACTCTGCGGCCAATGAAGCGAGGCAGAAATCATGCTTCTGTGTAACTGTAACACTCAGATTAATCCTGCTCTAAAGTGACCTGCAGTAACACAGATGTGACACTATTTCACGTCATTAAAAGACAAAGAAGCTAGAAGCTTACTAGAGAGGATAAATCACTTCTGCTTAGCACGTTTCAGACTGTTGTTCACTCAAAATCTCAGAATATTTGGACATGTGGTTTAATATTGGATACAGGTTGTTGCAGGTTTTAAGGTTTTAGTATCAATACATTATATATACAGATTTACTCTCATATGCAGGAAACTGGAAGACGACCATGATGCTAATTAATATTCTGCAATATTATTGGTTTGCCTGCACTGACGAAAACCAAACTTGAACTGATCTGATCTGAATAATAACACTATTACTTTCTGTAGCGCCGCTTATGCTGTAGCTGAAAGTGAATATGTTTCATAATGAATGAATTTTGCAACACTGTTATTTTCCTGGTTGTTTCTAGAAACCTGCTTTGAAATGATCTGTATTGCATAATGCACTATAAAAAAAAAAAAGTGTGTTCAGGTCTCCAAGTTTCAATGGAGTATATATATATATATATATATATGAAAGAATCAAATGCTTTAACAGAGGTGTGTGTGGATATGTGATAAAATCGGATTTTCCTGCTGTCTCGATCCCAAAGTCTACTTCAGTTTTGACACACAAGTACTGTATACTCCATGTGACAGTGTGTGTGAAACTTTCAAGTTATGACTGATAAAAGTGTGTTTAAATGAGAGTCGCATGTCGTTGCATCAGCTGTGCATTCACGTCTACAGGCACTGGACTGTTCAGCAATGCATTCGGAGTCTGAGAATGGTCTTGTCCCTAGCACACAGATAGGAGCTGTGGATGTTGACTGGTTTCAGTGGCGTTTCACACACGACAGAGTAACAGCCCTGATGTGAGGTGGTGTTATACAGCCAATATAGTCACTCCGCACTGTCTAAACCCATTGCATTGGCTGTGTAACACATCCCGTGCCGCACTGTGGAAGATTTCTCCTCTGCAAGTTGAGAGGAGATGATCTAACAGTCTCGAGAAACAACATGAGCAGAGCGCTTGGAAGGAGCTGTGACAGCAGAGGTCAGGTTTGTTCTCATGTGCAGCAGTGCTGTGAGAGTTTCGCTGTCCGTCTCTCGCGTGGGTTTCTCATGCGGCGGGAGAATTCCCCCGCGAGCGTGAGCCTGACGTGAGCCGCGCTCGCTCTTCATCGCGTCACTCAGCGCTGGAGGAAGAGCCGAGAGCAGCTGGTGTGTCACAGTTTCAGTTCAGCGGTGCAGCGGTGCAGCGGAGGCGTTCTCAGTGCAGGCAACGCATTACATCGCTCCTTCTCCTGGAACTGTGCTTATATCACCATTACTGCTTTGATTGTATTCCTATATATAAACTGACCAAAGCACGTCACCTATAGTGTGTCATGATAATATTCCATCTGTGTAAGGACACCACAGACTACACATTCAACCCTAAAACATAAAGACATTTTTTATGTTTTATGGCTTTTGCATCTGAACTCTTCATATATATATTAAAATAAAGTGCAACCAAATATCCATCAAAATAAAGTGCTAGCAGATATTAAGCAGTCTATTAACACTCTAATGACAAATTAGGAGTTTATTGCGGCAAAAGTCATAGTTAATAGTTAGTTAATAGTGAGACCTTAAAATAAAGTGTTACTGAAAAACACAACAAAATGACAAAAAAATTAACTCAAATTAAAATAGAAGCAGACAATGTAATAATAAAATCTAATTCAAAAACTATAACAGCATGTCAATGGCGCTGTGAAAACATGTTCTCATTCCGTCACTGGCTCCGGTGTAAAGTCCTTCAAGTTTTCTTTAGGGGAATTTGTGGAGTATTCCTGAAACTCAGCGCTTGTACTTTTACTCCATTACGTTCTGTTTGTCATGGTTTGGTCACCTGGTCAAGTCCTCGATGTCCACCAGCATGGCGTCCTGCTCCATGTGAAGCTCGTCTCTCATCAGCAGCAGCTGCACCAGCTCCTCGTTCAGACCTGAGCATCACACACACACATGTCCCTGAGCTCCACACACACACACACACACTATGCAGCGTATGAATGAGACAGACAG